GACTGTCACTTGTTATGTCCACTGGGAGCTGGAAGCTCTGATCTGTTGCTACAGTTTCTACTTGTCTCTCAGAAGGCTTATTTGCTCGTTTATTTCGTTACCAAAAACGACTTGCTCAACCATTCGGGTTTTCAGTTCTACTCTATATTGCGAGCCTTAAGAACTCTACTTTGTTTTTACTCCACGGATGATGTTCAGCTTGCTTTTTCTTGGGTAATTAGTTACAGTGGGTACTGGAGTAGCACCCATCGAGGCAAGATCTCTCCGATAACCCAAAATCTGAGACTAACAGAGAGTTGGGAAACTTTCTTTGTTATGATCGCTGAAACAAGATTATAACGAGCATTCGAAATAAGGTAGAATACTTCACTATCTTACTGTAGCTCGAGATCGTTGACTAGATTGACACAATTCCTTTTGTGCTATCAAATGGATTCTTCCACTTGATTCTTGGGCTTTTTGTGCTGTATCAGAAGCACCATATCACAGTTTCGACAAGTGTGCGGTCCCTTGCCTTCAATGTCAGAAACTCCCACTCACGTCCGTGCGATCTGTTAAGGGGCCAATTATATTCAGACGGCGCTGTGGCCCGCACCGAGTATCATGCAGTATCTTCGCTTGTATCAATAGTACCGGCAATACTTCAAGTAACATGTGGGCTAGACTTGATGTAAAAATTACCGTGCTTAAAGATCTTCATGCCGTCCTTCAAGATCACGCTATTCATCTTTGTTTGGGGATCAGCATCGTTATTGACGTGGAGATTGAATTGCTTACCAGGTCAGAGAGGCTTGGAAGACATGTATGTTCCAGTTCAACACTTCGCCATCAACGTCAGTAGTGTTTCTTAATGACGAGAAATCATCATCACCAGTCTCGTTTGATCTCCACGGATCTTGATCCGACGGCAATGCGGGGAATCTCGAAGTGAGTCCTTGGGCCCAAGAACCCCACGTTGAGTGGGGAGGGGGAGGGCATAGTTGAGCTTCATCGGGACATGAATCGGTGTGACTACTTGGTCACCTTTTTGATCAATGCATAATCCATCACTGCCCTACGCTTCGCCTCATCCTCTGGTCGGTCAGTCTGCTATCGCGAGATAAACAACAAATCATATTTATCACAAGTTGGTCTCGTTATCTTGGATTCAAGCAAACAAACAAATCGGTGGAAGAAAGCAAGTCACCTGCTTGCTTTGAGCCCGGGGTCCTGGTAGCGGCGTAGTGATTTTCATCGACGGCAGACCTTCCGGCCGCTAAGCTGTGGCACGGGATATGGTATCAGCTCTTGACATTCATGCCTTCGTGCTCAAGTGTCTTCGACATCTCTACTCGAGTGAGAATGCCTCTCGAGGCCGAGATGGCACCATGACGCTATAGTCGCGTCATATCAGCTTTTCTTACAAGCGACTTTTGTTTTTCATATCTTTCTTTCAAAAGAACTGATACCAATATCACCTCGCTTATTTACCTGCCTTACCGTCTTTCTCAGCCGCGTTCTGAAAACCGTCTCATCTTCCTACCCGTGCGCCTCTTTTGGTTTCGCGGCTAAGACTACTGACTTTACGAAGTAATAATCTCCCCTATCAGCAAGGCTGGCTTCTGGAGGCGCTGGGATTCACAGTGGCGGTCGCTGGTGGCACAGGACACAATCTGCCTTTTGTTCGAGGACGTGAGCGGCGGCGGCGGTCTTGCCGTTCCGCGTGGAAACTTTGTGTTGGCGACACCGGTGCTGTGGGTAACTGGGATGAAAATGACGGAAATGTGGAAGCATGTCTTAGGTTGGGCGTCCTGGCTTGATAGAGCTTGCCGCTTGCACTACTCCGTAAGTCAAAATAACGGGATCAAAAAAACTGTGAAAATGATCATCACTCTCAAATCCTTCAGTCAACTTCAAGTGAGACAGGAGCGCTGCTAAGAAGAACAGTGTGGGATTTAGAAAATATTCCTTAAATGAATATCTCTTAAGCTCAGATAGCTCATAAGCTTAAAGTCTAAGTATCAACCACGAACTCTAAATCTGGTGTTTGAGCACAATTATGGAGTTTTCTCGTCGGATGTAGATAGTTCACACAAAGTAGCCTGGCTAAACTATCGTGAGGCTACTTCGGAGGCTCACGTTACCGAGAACTTAAGGATGATGGGCTCAACGAAATGATATATCGGAGTTTTGCTGGCCAAATCACTTGAAGATCACAAGTGCGTAGAATGATGACACTAGATGGGGCATACTGTGGTAAAGTTCAACTTTTAGCCTTTCACGTTCGGGGGAGTTCGAAATGTAGACGACAAAATACAGATTCTCCTTTTTCCATTGGTATGTGCACAATCTATAAGGTTCCTATCAAGAACACCCAATACTAGCAAAGTCTCAATCCGCTCAGCAACATACATGTGCCTATGCTCCAACCGGAAAGGTTATGATCTGTATTGCTATGCTAGTTTGACTATACACTATATCATAAGATATTTCTGGGGCTCGTTACTATATAGAAGGCATATATTTCATACTCGGAGGTTGGATCACAACGCTTCTAATCTATTTGGAGTGTTTCCAAAAATTTGGTGCCAGAGACCAGAGATCTTGGCAACATTTTTTCATTTGATGATGTAGAATAATGCTCTTCACGTTCCTTGACGTGTTTGGTTCGCCAAAATTAATGTTCGAGAGCCATACTACTTCTTTACTCATCATGTCTGAGAGTTCTACTCGGTCAGCATCTTGGGTCAAGATTTACCATTGATAGGTGGACAAAGAGAAAGTTCTTGTCGAAACAACAATTGTGGTGGTCTTAAAATAACAGAACTCAAAATGTTTCGCATATTAGCGGTACCTGTTAACAGTTCTTTCCGCAGATTCAACATGATCTAGAAGTTGCTAAAATTTTCAAGATCACAACAGCAGTATCAATTCATTCTCTGCCTCAGCCAATCTCTTCGAAAGTGAGCTATACGATATCTCGTACAATGAATTGATATCCAAAAGATAGACTCAGAAGCCACCAAGCAAACCTATTATATAAACTTACGTATTTTTCGAGTATCTGTGATGACAGGAGATATTGCATTCTTCTTGTAAAATAATCAAACGAGAAATCCGCTAGCTAGCTTAAAGAACCTGTAAAAAGCCGGTTTATATGTTTTTCATCCCCAAAGAATGTCTGGTAAAAGCCGCCTATGTCACGAGTATGTGAAAGCTATCTTGTTGCCACCAAGCCCACTTGCTTGTCGTGTTTTCTCTTTATATATGTTCTTGATAAGTTGAAGAACTGTAACTTAATGGATACCGGTATTTGTTTCAAGGGAAACCCGTCTCAGAATACTTTGTCAACAAAAGTAAAAATAGATCGCTCCTTAAAAGTATGTAACTAATTCCCTTCCTCTTACTTTATTTAAGTCTACCTCGACTGTCTGCTTCTCATTCTGCTCCCCTCAGCTTTATGCTACAGCACTTGGGACGCAATTTCAGTGTTAATCACGGTTCGTATGTTATGGAACTAGGAAAGTTGTTACAGAATAACAAATTCTCACTGTCTTTCAGCGAGATTACTGGAACCTCTCCCACACAGGTTTTAGGCGTGAGCGGAGCTAAAAGTCGGGAGCTATGATAGACCAGTAAATGCTACGTGACGACGGGAATACTCAAATCCCTGTGAATTATGTGCTCTGTTTGTAATTTTCATTTACGAGTTGAATACTGCCTTATTCAGCAGCTAGATAAGCAATCCCTGCCAACCAGTCCCCCGAGCGATCCACTACTATGTAACTCAAGATTCTCATCTAACGGGTCATGAACAGTGCTACGACCTGATCAGTTTTGCTTTTACATTAAGCGGGGTGTTTGCTTAGTTGTAGATGCTAGTCTGAAATTCAAGATAGGACAGCAGTCCAGTCCTCAAATTCGAGCTCTACACATCTCACCAATGTTTTTGTTCTTCAAAAAATCCCCGCCATTAAGACGTAATATTCAACCAGACCTCTGAGTTGCTGATATTTAACTCACCCCTGTCCTGCTCTCAGTCAACAAAACACTTTGCTATTCTTCTCTCCGTGTTACATCATTCGTCAAAAGACTTTACTGTAAAATATAGAGGACCAGGTTTCAACTGTCATCCAATTGTGATCATAAGTCTGGGATATGTCGGACTTGGCAACCTCTGGTTTGGTTGAAATCCTTCACAATCAAGTAGATCAATTCTTCTCAGAAACCATTCTCGAAATTTCCCGAGGGCTGTTGGGAAGAGCATATAACAAGCTAATTGTCAGCGAAAGAAGTTCTCTGAATTACGATTAATTGCTTGTCTTGAGTAATCATGATAAGTCTTTCTACCCGGGTGTCTTTCAACCACGTCGAGGGAGCTGAGGGAGCCAATACATTGACGAGATGGACGTTTTATAAGTGAGACTATAGCTACGAGCTTCAGTAGCAATGTGTAGACATATTCTTGAGAAGGCTTTAGAAGTTAAGTCTCAATACATAGAAAAGCCCCCTTTCTTGTATCCTGTGAAATGATTTGTGGTCTATAACACTAAAAATAGCACAAGCCTTAAAGAAGTCAATTAAGCAGAATGCACTCTGATTTCGCGCAATATAGTGCATGCGTTCTTTTGTGTACAGGTCATGCTACTCCTTCCTCTGGTCACTGGGCGAAAGATGTAGACCATAACATAGAAAGAGCGAGTGGGGAAAACGAGGAGTGTACAATCCTAGATATGTTCAAGATGGACCTTTTACAACCCGTTTGACGTAGCTGGAGATGCGGTTGTGCTTAGAAACATAAATTCGAGATAGAGAGACAAAAGGCGCCTTACAACAGTGCATCGAAAACTGCGAAAAAGTTCTATTTCTATTTACACATGCAGTCTAAGCCCCCAGTTTACGCCATTCATGCACGAAATGGGACCATTCCGCACTTGGAATATTATGTACAGGTTTCGTTTTCATCAATCATCCACCACTCTTGGGCTATCTGTAATTCAAACTCGTAAGAGAAAAGCACCTCAAGACTGCACCTCAGCTTCAGTCCACCCACCCACTTTTCTTCCACCCTCCTTCCTTTTGACCCTACATCTCATGCCCACCTTATCATCCAAAATGAACCTCCAGATGACACCAATCCAACTTTCATGCCTGGGCAGATCATCATAGAATTCGTGTGCAATGGCATTCAACTTCCTCAACCTCGTCCATGGAACCGCTGGGAAGTCATGATGCTCATTGTGCAGACCAACGTTGTAGGTAAAGAAATTTAGTGAGCCATAATAAGAATATGTTTCGGGGATGAGCGTATTGGTGAGAGGGTCCTTAGCGGTCTCGGGTGGGTCGAAAACGTAGTGTTCAGCGATAAAGTGACCGGCGCAGGGGTGGAGAGAACCGGCGAGGAAGGACGAGAGAATTAGGTAGTAGAGACTGTGCATAGAACAAGTCTTAACCAGGAAGAGGTCGAAGAGAACTTGGATAGCAATATTGATGAAGTGGATCTCGGTGAACGGGACTTTGTAGATGAACATAGGCCGGAGAGCGTAAAAGAGTATTTGAAAGGTGCAGAAGAAGGCTTTTCCAGCGAGAGAATCGAAGAAGACAGCTTCCAGGGCTGTAGGAAGGTCGGTATCAAGACCGTCTACGCCAAGAGACTTGTGGTGTGTTAGGTGGTATGGCTATTTTTGCATTAGCTTATGTTCGCAGACCCATCTTATACCGCGTCTACGGGTGCAAGACCAACACTCGGGAAGATCAAAACGTACCCTGAAGGAAGCACTATATGGGATACCAATTGGCAGGTTTGCAAACACGGCCAAGGCTCTGTTCATCGCCGGACTCCTGAAGGCCAAATTGTGTGAAATCTCGTGAATAGCCAGGAACAAATTCTGGTTTGCCGTGGCACCCACCACGTATGCAGTTAGGAAGAACTTCCATGATAGGAACGGTGTGTTTTCTAGGAGATATGCGCATAGAAGTTGGATAGAGACAACGAGGGCTACGACGTATTTCGTGAGAGGTTCTGGCCCGCAGAGTTTCGTTACCTGGAAGTAAAGGGTCAATTGGAATCTAGAGTAAATGATAAATGAGAGATTACCTCGGGATGTGCCTTAATGATAGCTTGTCGACGTGTACGATGGGGCTCCTCTGTATATGTCCAGAAGAAGTCGTTCTCTTTGACCTCGAGAGGAGGGGCAGTCTCCTTTACTGGCGGTGTTCGTAAACGCTTCGTAGCTTCATCTTTGCTGTCTGGTCGAGACGTAGTGATCGTAGAGGTAGAGGCTGGCATATTGAACGATTGAGATGCCAGAATATTGGAGGTTTTAGGAAGATCGACCAAAGTTATATTATTCGGACTTCAACGTCCATCGCCAGTCAAACTTGCACCTGTTGAAATCAAGTCGGATTTCCAGAAGCTTGGAGCATCTCCCCATAATTATTAAAAGCAGCATGTTGAAAGCAGCATGGCAGGTCACGTACGGTAAACCGCATTCAATCACGTGACTGTTACCTTCCTCTCAACTTGCGGTGGACAACAGAAATGACAGAACCTCCTTACAATTCTGTGGACTTATTATATACTATAGAGTGGGTAAGTATCTTAAATTGGAACTCGTTCAAGACACACTTGAAAAGATCATATTATTTCGTCAATTGGCAAACCACTTATCATGCCCACCTGGAGCCCAGCTACTACTTACGGCGCCGCCTTTGCTGTAGATCTGTAGTGGGTGGCGATGATGAATTTAGGGGTCCCAACGGCGCGAGGGAACAAAGGGCCCCATTCATAAATACTTAGGTCTCACGTGGGTCTGTAAGGTTGCACAAATCTCTGGCCAGAAGCAATCTTTTAGTTGCGGCAAACGATGACCTATTTATCTCTACTTCTTGCAAATGTATAGGACCAACCCCCCTTGAATACCAACCACTTCTTCAAAACACACATCTGTAGTGATCTCAAGCTGAGGAGTGTCACTACCGTATGCGACCATTCAACGAAGCGATAAGCTATGATTGAGACGACTTTGTAAGATACTTTGCATACTGTCATCTTCCGGAAGCTGTGAGACTGGGGCTAGTCTTGACGACTTTTGGAGACTTGGCTGCTGCGAATGACCACGGCTAACATTGATAGCTTTTGAAAATGAGGACAGCGCTTCGATGTCAGAGGACTCGTTTGAGGGTTGGCGAAGGTGGATGTCGGATCGTGGCGGAAAGTTGCCATATGTAATGTTTCCGTCAAAAGTGCTTGCCGGCCGAGATGATCTCGGAATAGCTCTGACACATGTCTGTGAAGTGATGGGCTTGGTAGCCCATCGAGAGGCGCTTAAACCAGGGCCCAAAACTGTAGGCAATGCTACGAGATCTTCATCACTCTCAAGATTCAACTTTCTAAAGGATCTAGCAAGGTTTGAGACCTGTGTGTTTGTCGGAGCTTCAGTTTCTTCTGACACGTGATCAGGTGATATTTCAACAATCTCAACTGTCATTGTCCTGTCGTTTTTGGGAGAATCAGGTGTATCATTGGTAATCAAGTTGCTTCTTTTGGAGAAGGTATTCCAGCCTTGCACAGAGGTGACCGGTTGTTTGGTAGCAAGTGCGCGACTTATGGAGCCGTCGACAGATGGTGTTGAGATCGACTCGTTCACGCTTCTGCTCTCAGCAGTCTGAGCTTGCCCAAACATGTATGGCTGAGTTTTGCTAGCCGTGCTCGTTGCATTTTGGTGTTGGCCATAGTTGCTTTCACTTTGTATGCCTTGTGGTGGGCCTTGAAAGTTTCCAGAAGCTTGATTCGATCTTGGATGTGCCTGTGCTATTGGAACATTTGACCTGGGAATGGGATACCTGTTCGACATATCTTCTCGAGATAGTAACACCTTGTTGATCGTTGCAGCCCGGTTGCGTAGAATAAGGAGCTCGTCAATAGAGTAGGTGATGCGGATAGGTGGTTTCCCCTCTTCTTCTAGGACATTGGCCGTACTCTCTTCGACCCGGTGTTCTTTAACGCTCTTCTCAAGCTCAGTCGCTAGATCATTATCATCTGGGAACGACAGGCTCTGATTCAGGGTACCAATGGGAGGGTTAAGTGGGCTAGCTTGAGCAAAACATGGATCTCCTTCACCCTCTGCTGCTGCTTCAGCAGCCGAATTGTCTCGAAGGAGTAGTGCTTTAGCTAGGAGCTTCCACCCCATAACCTCAAGGTACTTCCGTTCTTCTGCTTCATTAAGCCTCGAGAATGTCTCTGACTGTCTGAAGTATTCACAAACGAGTTCTTCCGATGCTCTGAGATGCTTGTCAGAACGGAGTACCTCCTCTTTCCGGGCATCGCGGGCAATATTAGAGTCTTCGACCCTGTCAAATAAAGTGTCCAGGAAGGGCCCCTCATAGTATTTGGTTATACCTGCAAGTACCGCTAGCACAGTATAATCGTCGTTGAGGAAAGCAAGATCCCCAAGGGCTGATAGTTCCTGAAGATCTTGTGGCGAACTGTCTATGTTTGAATCTTCATCATCGAAGTCGATCAATGTTTCAAGAGATTTAAGCTCTCTGAGAGTCTGACTGCTGATCTTCAGCGGGGAGTAAGACTCAGGCGCTACCCCGGACGTGGAAGTCGAAACCGGCATCAGTCCATCCTGTTCATGCGAAGGAGGTGTGGCTTTGCTCGACAAAGGCGGGACCGTGTTGCTACACTCAGCACGTACCGGCCGGAGAGGATCTCTGGTCAATATACTATAACATGCAACAGCGTATTGTGGAAGTATGAACCTCACCGTCCAAATCAAATCTCTCACGATTGGTGAGACGTTGCAGAATGTTATGACACGAGGGTCATTTTCCATGATCTCTAAGAGCGAGTTCACCGCAATGCTTCCCTCAAATAGAATCTTGTTCTCAGCAGCCTTTTCTTCTATCTCAAGAACAACTGGATGCGATTTTGACAATTGATGAAGTCGGACGTTGACGTTCCAAGTTTTGGTATCATCACCTTTCTGAGCTGTTGCAGCGAATATCCTCAGAGTGTTCTTATCTGTGGTTGCTGGCCTGCAATCTTTGGTAGGAATGTTGTTCAAGATTGAATCCGTTTTAACGGCGGACTGGGTGACTGGAACACAAGCGTTATTCTCACCTTGAAGAATAGATTCTGCCCAGTCCGAAATATTTGTGTCACTTCTCAGGGGCGGCTCAACGGAATTCAGCGCTTCTGCCAGTGACCGAGACGTACTTGCAGCATCTAAGCATGGCTCAGAGGATACGGGTGCCCACTTTGAGGCCTTCAGCCCACCTCTAGTTGGGAGTGTTGAGCTCTGGGCCAATGTATCTGCCAATGTATTTGTTTGTGTAACATCCACTGCCTGCTGGGAAGTAGTATGCTGTGCAGCTGCAAAGAAGGATTCTGGATCAACAAGAGTGACAGGTCGTTGAAAGTTCATACTGGAGCTTTGACTTGCTCTTCCTTGACTTCTAGCTGTCGACCTGTTTGTCTGACGCGGGCTGGCAGTCGTCTGATGGCTACGACCCACAGATTCAGCGGCTACTACTCGGCTAGGCATTTGGCGGAGGCGTGCGACGGTATCCTCCATGCGGTCAGCTGCTCGACCTCTCCTACTATTCCCTCTGGGAGGAGGAGTGCGCATGTTTGAGGCTCTGTGTACCACCGTTAGCATTTAATTTGTGATAAGACGTTTCTAGAGCTGGTTGGATCTCACTCTGACATCCTTGAAGAAGTACCGGTATATCCACCCCGTCCGGCACGGCCAGTCCCTCGACCGCGACCTCCCCCTCTGTTCCCGTTTTGTCCTTGATCGTTTCCTGGTATACTTCTACGCATGCGATACAATTGTCCATCTGCGATGGAGTCTAGTAGATGTTCCTGTTCTGGAACATCATCGAAGACGGCATCTGTGGGACTGGGTTAGTCAATTCGATCATGAAGCTTTATAGAATTCTTACTTAGCCAAGGATTATCAGAAGTAGCTGCAGCTCTTTTTCTTTCCTCGAGAAGACTGCACATTGCTTGGTTGATAGGTCCTCCCCGATCCTCCAGAGGGAGAGTATCTTTCCTCGCAATACCAAGCTCTTCCTGTTTTACTGTCAGTCACAGACAAGAAAAGAAAAAGCGTTATGTGTTTTGGTGAACGAACCATCATCGCTGCCTTCACAGACTCCATCATTTCTTCCTGAGCCCTTTCGTCCGCCATTTTGTGGTATATTCAAGGTGAACTGCTCGGCCCTATCAGCATATATATGACGATACAGGTATCATCGTGCGTTGTTGGTAACAAAATTCCATTTTCCAAAGTGGCAACATAGAAGACGAAATGTGTGTTCTTGGTGACTTGGAGCGACAGAGGATTGATTTTGAACCTTCTGGGAGATGCATTCTTGTAAGAATGAATGACGAGGGTGGATTTTCCGACTTACTTTTGTTGAATCCTTTTTGCGCTCTGGTCGACCCGAGACTTGACGCGTTCGAAACGAAACAGAAGTAAAAACACGATTGACTCAGAATCTTTGAGGAAGCGTTCTTTCCTGTCGATTTCTGTTGCAGGCGCCTGTGCAGATGTGGCAAGTTCTGCTCTGTATCTTGGGTCCACTAGACAAAATAATGTCGTGTTGTTGCCGCTCAGCACGTATTCAACGCTGCAGGTTCTCCTCCCATCGTAAGCGTAAGAATACTCGGAATCCTTTCTTCGATACTTCTGTACTGAGATCTGAGATCCTTGATGGATCTCAATGCTGTCGAGATCGATGTATTCTTGTTATTGTCGACAGATCCCGGAAGTAAGCGATAGTGGGTGGGTCAAAAGTGAAAGAGCGTCCCTGTTGCAGGTTCCCCCAGATTGGGATTGGATAGTGTCGAAATCCGATAACCGAACCAACATACAGTACCTATGTAGGTAGGTATGTATTGACCCTGCGCCAAGATGATGAGACAATGAGCCTCTTCCAAGAAAGATTTCGTGGGGCAAGAGTATGTGACATCTTTGTTTTCAGGTTAGGTAGTATTCATTGTATTATATTGCACCGGATAGCACTCTTCCGAAGCAAACCTTACATGCAGGCGGCTGCTGCTGCTCATTAGGGTGCGACACGGAGGTAAAGTCTATCCATTTGGTCTGTGATAACATTGTATTTAAAGGTTTAGAACACGGCCCGATGTCATTATTGTCCACGTATACAAAAGAGAAAGGACAATAGTAACCGTTTGGGCAAAATCCATTTGAATACGATGATGTTAGATTTCGATTTGAAAATGAATGCTGATAAGCTCGAAAATATGAACCATCTTGCTCTGGATTATACAGTCTGTTCACATCAGTGAATAATGAAAAATCTCAAAGCAATTAGATCAATAGTGATTCTCTTGCTTTGGTTTTTACGACCTCGCCTACGCGAAAACCCGATTGCCCCAATTGCTTCCATTTGATTGAGGCATTATGATTTCTTGGATTATTTTGTGGCCTTTTATTCTGTCCGCTTTCTCCAGACATGAAGTAGTACATCAGATATACCTTAAATAAGAGCGAAGTCATTATGCCTGTGAGAAAATAAGCACATGAGGACTGACTGTGCTAAGTACGCAGTTAGAATTTCGTACAAGGGTACAAATGAGTGTTGAAACGCCTTTCAGATGAGAATACAAACGAGCGTTGAAAAACCCCCTTTAGATGAGAAGACACAATAACTTCTTTGCTTGGATAGAAAGTTCTTATTAAATACTAGGTAAATAACGTATATATAGATTAATACTTAACTTGATTATCATTAGCAAGTTGGAAGGGGATCTCAGGTCGCCTTTGTATGTCGTTCTCCTAACCAATCGGCTTCATTCCATTTCCTGACCAACCGCGGGCCCGATACCGCAAGATGCCCATCGATTTTATTAAATTTCCATGCGCGGTTCAATTGTTCGCAATTACTCAACAGCCACAATGAGGGCCGGGTTTCCGAAGAGTGGCAGGTCTGCTAGAAGGGTAAGTTACACTATGTTACGTTCGACATGATTAATTGACGAACTGTTGCAGAGTTCGCATGTGTTGAACTTGCTCCGTCCACGATGCGCTCGAAACCTTGCGACAATATCACCCACCAAATCCTCCCACGACTACCAGCCAGACATCGCATCGCGGACTCCTCCATATCCCAAGCTTTTAAGGAAACTTCATGAAGTGCGACGTGTTCTAGGGCCCGAGAGGCAGCTGACCTTGGCGGAAAAAATCCTCTATTCTCATTTAGACAATGTGGAAGAATCGTTACTTTCCAATACCGACAATGGGCTCAATATTCGAGGAAATGCAAATCTCAAGCTTAAACCAGACCGGGTGGCGATGCAGGATGCGTCTGCGCAAATGGCGTTGTTGCAGTTTATGACATGCAATCTACCATCGACGGCTGTTCCTGCTAGTATTCACTGTGACCATATGATTGTAGGGGAGAAGGGTGCGGATGTCGATCTTCCCGAATCGATCAAGGGAAATAAAGAGGTGTTCGATTTCTTGGAGTCTGCTGCGAAGAAGTATGGCATCGAATTTTGGCCACCAGGAGCAGGAATCATTCATCAAACAGTGCTGGAAAATTACTCGGCTGTAAGTTCGCTCGACAGTATATGTCAGAGGTAACCTTATTAATGTCCGTAAAGCCAGGTTTAATGATGCTGGGAACGGACAGCCATACCCCTAATGCTGGGGGACTTGGAGCTATCGCCATCGGCGTTGGTGGTGCGGATGCAGTTGATGCTCTGGTCGATGCACCATGGGAATTGAAAGCCCCCAAAGTCCTTGGAGTTCGGCTCGAAGGCGAATTGAGTGGCTGGGCCTCTCCCAAGGACGTTATTCTTCATCTTGCTGGACGTTTGACTGTACGTGGTGGCACTGGATTCATTATTGAGTATCATGGCCCTGGCGTTGACACACTGAGCTGTACTGGAATGGCTACGATATGTAATATGGGGTATGTATTTCTAGGCTTATATCAGGGAAACGCTAATAATTTGAATAGAGCGGAAGTTGGGGCTACGACGTCTCTTTTCCCATTCTCTACACGGCACATTCCATATCTTGAAGCTACAAACCGTTCAGCCATAGCGCTGCAGGCCCAGACAATAGCGTCCATCGAATCATTGCGCAACTTGCTTTGCGCTGATGAAAACGCCCGATATGATGAGGTTATCACAATCGATCTGTCGAAGCTCGAACCCCATATCAATGGACCAAACACACCTGATCTTTCGACGCCACTATCCAAATTTGCCGAAGCCGTAAAAACCAACAATTGGCCGACCACGCTTTCAGCAGGACTGATTGGTAGCTGTACAAATAGTTCTTATCAAGATATGTCTCGCGCTGAAGATCTCGTCAAGCAAGCTGCTGCTGCGGGTCTTTCTCCCTCAAATGACTTCTTCGTCACACCTGGCAGCGAACAGATCAGAGCCACTCTGGAAAAAGACGAAACTCTCAAGACGTTTGAAGACGCTGGAGGTGTTGTTCTTGCAAATGCGTGTGGTGTAAGAAAAATCCTGATCGTAAGCTGACGAGGTGTCAAACGCTAACAATGATTACAGCCTTGTATAGGACAGTGGACCAGAACGGATGGCGTCAAGAAAGGAGATGACAATGCAATCTTCACATCATACAACCGCAACTTCAGAGGCCGCAATGACGGTAACCCCAACACTATGAATTTTCTTGCAAGTCCCGAGTTAGTGACAGCTATGTCCTACGCTGGAACTACCACCTTCAACCCCCTCACGGACAGCCTCACTACTCCTCATGGTGAAACTTTCCGCTTCAATCCTCCATCCGGCGCAGAACTACCAGCCTCCGGCTTCGAAATTGGAAACCCTGATTTCCTCCCCACGTCAGGCGCTCCCTCCCCTTCCACACCGGTCATTGTTTCCCCGACCTCTGATCGTCTCGCCCTTCTAGACCCATTTGCTCCGTTCCCAGAGTCAGACTTGAAAGGCCTTCGAGTTCTATACAAAGTCACCGGGAAATGCACCACAGACACAATTTCTGCTGCCGGACCATGGCTGAAGTACAAAGGCCATCTCCCAAACATATCCGCCAATACGCTCATCACCGCAGTCAACGCTGCTACAGGCGAAGTGAATGTGGCTTACGACGTCGATGGATCTACTTCCTCCATTCCGGAACTAGCGCAGCGATGGAAAGACAAAGGTCTCGAATGGCTGGTAGTAGCAGAACACAACTACGGAGAAGGTTCTGCTCGTGAACATGCTGCTCTCCAACCTCGTTATCTCGGTGGTCGTGTCATTCTTACAAAATCCTTTGCAAGAATCCACGAGACGAACCTTAAGAAGCAGGGAGTGGTACCCTTGACCTTTGCCAACGAATCGGACTATGATCTTGTCGACGCTTGTGATCACGTCGATACTGTCGGATTATATGATGTTCTCACATCTGGTGGAAAAGGCAATGTGGTTCTCAAAGTCACGAAGAAGAGTGGTGAGGTCTTGGAAATTAAGACTAAACATACCATGAGCGAAGACCAGTGCCGTTTCATTCTTGCCGGTAGCGCTTTGAATGTACTTGCTAAGATGGCGAAGAAATGAGTGATTTAGGATGGGGGTCGGCGTTGAGGGTGCAAAATTGTAAATGATAAGGATACGACTGCATATAAGGGTTATACACAAAAAGGCAGTTCTGCGCAGCTCGAATCTCTTCTGATGAGGCTGAACGTTTAACCGAAATATGTTACATGTGACAGCATACCTGGAATAAGGATGTACTTACCATTCGAGCAGCTGCATTAGGAAGAAAGAAATCTATAAGAGCTGAAAAGCCTTCAACTACTTCTGCTTGAGCCTTTCTCTGGGGTTTGAAACTTATTTGGTTCGATGTGAAATGTATACTTTACGATTCCGAGCCTGATAAATGATCACTGATGTGTAACTTGATTTGAGGATTTTCTTTTGGCCAAATCAACTCTTCCTCGTCTATACCGATTAAGCTTCTCTAAAAGGGTCTGAAATACAACACTATAGTTCAAGTCCTTCATGTTAAATACCCTCATTCCTTCTTTTAAATATGACCCATCGCCGCATCGAATTGAGCGTAAACATCAGAGCCGGAGTCCCATTCGGCCTCCACTCTCTGTCCCTCTTTATCGGATATTGGAAAACTAACTTCTCAGGCAACATTTGCGGCGGAACTAGAACGAGGGATCTGCCCCTACGCTTTCAGATCCTTTTGTAACAGCTTTACGCCTTAGGGATTTAAATATACTCCTCCTTTAACGGCTTGACCTAATTGTCCTTTGGCTGGAGGGGTCCTAAGTTTGGGCGCATTACCTAAGCTGGGGTAACACCACTTGCAGGTGGGCTCCCATTGGTCAAAGCGAAGTCTCCCGTCAAGGTCCCGCGATGAGCAACTGCTCTGTCATTCAGCAAACTCCCCTCGCTGTTTTATACAGCACCATATTCTGGTCTGTACCGTGACCCCCGTCGCATATTCATTCACCACAGTAAAAGCACAGTTGAAACTACGAAATGTCTGTGATTCTCTGCACAGGTAAGCTTGCTTCCTCCACACATCAAAAATGCCGCGTCGATTTGCAACTGCTAAAAAATTGACATTTGTTACAGCCGGTTATGACCATACCATACGGTATGTTTTGCGACAGTTGTTGATCGTTGGGACTTTGGCTTATGCTTCCTAGGTTTTGGGAAGCCCTCTCAGGAATTTGCTCAAGAACTATCCAACATTCCGAGTCGCAAGTAAACAGGCTCTGCATATCTCCCGATAAACGTTTCCTCGCCGCAGCTGGCCATCATAATGTCAAGCTCTACGACATCAAGTCGACGAATCCCAATCCTATACTCGCGTTCGAGGGGCACACTGGCAATGTTACAGGTGTCGCATTTCACTGCGAAGGAAAGTGGATGGTCACTAGTTCGGAAGATGGGACGGTGAAGATCTGGGAAACTCGTAGTGGCACCGTGCAAAGAAGTTATACTCATGGGCCTCCTGTTAATGATGTGGTTATACATCCCAATCAGGGCGAAATCATCAGCTGCGACAGAGGGGGGAACGTTCGTGTATGGGACTTGGCAGAAAACAGCTGCTCTCATCAATTGATTCCAGAAGAGGATCAGCCGGTGTCGAGCGTCACCGTAGCAAGTGATGGCTCTACACTGTGTGCAAGCACAAACTCGGTATGTTTTGTGTATACTTTGCTTGTATGATTTTACTGACTCCGAAAGGGAAACGTCTACGTCTGGCACCTCCTTCAACTACGTGAAAAAACCCAACTCATCCCTATTACCCACTTCAAAGCTCACAATTCGACCATAACTCGCGTGCTACTCTCCCCAGACGTCAAGCATCTTGCAACATGTAGCGCCGACTGCACGGCCAAGATCTGGGAAGTCAAGGACTTAGAGTCCATGATTCCCCAGCCTGGCCAGGTAAAGAGCAAGGAAGAAACCGAGAAACCATTCAAGCTCGAAAGTACACTGACCGGACACCAACGCTGGGTGTGGGATTGCGCTTTCAGCGCCGATTCTGCCTACCTCGTGACTGCATGTTCTGACCACTACGCCCGGTTATGGGAACTCCACAGTCAGCAAATTATTAGGCAGTACAATGGTCATCATCGGGGTCTCGTTTGCGTGGCTCTTAATGATTACTCGGAAGCCCGATGAGGAAGTTAAACATTTTCAAAAGTTTCACGTAAGGTTCTGTCGAGGATGCGTAATCTAGCATTGCCCGTTTGGGAGTGTGGACATCTTAGTTGGGTAATTCTGGCGTTCTCGGTGGCATTTGGTCACGCATAGCATGGCGTTGGAAGGATATTGGAGCCATACCCCATCATCTTAATGAAGTAAATTTGTTGGTTGAACATAAACATAATGAAATACTGTGACTTTGCATTCTGTATTGTGTCTCACTAATTCAATGGAGCATGATTGGTTTTGTCGATTTATCTTGTGCTTAAGTAGTTAAGGTATCCAACGCCAACGCTATGCCTCATGAACCAAACCAAACTCCAAATCTTCTGAGCAAATACTTGAAACCCTTTTGTATATCATTACCAGCCATCGCCCCATCCATCATCATCGTCAGCTGCAGGTTTAGGCGTCGGATCAACCTTCTTCGCCACCACAGGTTTAGGTTTTACCGCGGCTGCTTTCTTTGCGCCAACACCACCAATACCCCCAGTCGATGCCGTTCGAGAACCAGTTATGGGTCTTGACGTTGCCGGCTTGGCGAGCCCCTTTGGTAGGGCTTTTGCTCCAGGCTTTTTGCCAGCTTGCGCTGCCATCCAGCCAGCGAAGTCGGGCTCGCCATCGTCTTCAAAGGGGATTGCGGAAGGTTTTGTAACAGGCTTTGGAGTAGCCTTTGTGGTAGGCTTGGGAGTAGGTTTCGTGGTGGTTAATGGAGTTTCACTCGGAGAGTCGAAGAATGTGTCCTCTTCCATGTTACCCCAAGTGTCGTCGAAGTCTCCGTCAGCATTCGCTTCTGGGAAGTAATCATTTGCGTTCGAAGACGTAGAAGTACGAGCCGATGTTGCCGGAGGAGATGTAACTGCTTGACGGTGCAAGCTCGATGCAGATGCTGTCGCTGTCGCTGTCACTGGCACAGTGTTTGCTCGTCGCGAATCAATTACAGGCGAGGAATTGGAACGGGTAGCAGCAGCGGGTGCACCATTTGATGATGCCTGTATTTCACCAGTTGCCGTTGAAACTTTGTTTGTAAAGGATGATATTGCCCACCCAGTCCAGGAAGCTGCTTCGCTGGGCTGAGGTGTACCCATCCGCGGTGCTGAGGCAGTAGGGTTGTCGTTTGAGGTTGGCGGAGGTAGCACGGTATCGGCCATGGTAGAACCAAATTTTCGAATACGCTGAAGAAAGATATCCATGGTCTTGTTTGCCTGATCCCGAACGAGCTTCTCCTTATCAATCAGGCAAGGACAGAGGGCGGGAAGTATCCTATTGGCACAATCATCCTCGCTGAAAGAATCTAGCGTTGCACCCAGAGCCATCAAGGCGGCAGTTCGTGCATGAACAAACGGATCTCTCAGTGAGCGTGTGAAGGCAGCGATGAGGACCTTTGATCTATTGCCAACCCCCAAATTCTTCGCTATCTTCCCAAGACAGATTGTGGTATTGGTTCGGATACCAGGTTGTTCATCGTTTTGGGTTTTGGCCAAATATTTCAATAGTTCACCGTTGACGGTTCTGTCAGAGAGTTTTCCAATGATAGTCAGAACGGCCTTGACGGTCTGTTCTCGGACCATAGGTGCGACATCCGTAAAGCCAGTAACCTGGAAATGGAGTCAGTTCTATGGAATGAATAGTCTATAATTCTATACTAACCATTTGCGGAAAGATCTTGTCATTCACAATCTTCTGTGGTAGCCTATCAATCATAATAGGGAGATTGTCGAGCAGACAGACTCGTATGGCTCTATCAGGGCTTGAGAAAAGGCGTACGACAGAGGGAGTGACCTTGGATTCAAATTCGTCGTCTGTGAGCTTTTTGCTTATCTTCATCACAACCCCGAACACTTTGGGGCCACCGCCACCAAACTCCACGGATTTGAGAAGTTCCGGCAAGATTTTCATCTTGAAGTAATCCTCGGGGAAGTCATCGGATAGTTGGTCAAGTTCACTTTCCAGAATTAGTATTGATGATCCTCATGTTCTTTACAACTTACTTCAAGAATTCTTCCCGTTCTTCCTCACTCTTCATCCCAAGATTATCCATACTATCCGTCAGCTTGATGAGTGGCGTCTCGAAGAACCCCCCATTTCGGCGACCCTGTTCAAGAAAGTTGCCGACACTGGCTCTGGCTTTAGGGTTGGTATTGACTAATTTTCTGTAACTCGCAACCATGGCTGGAGGGACCCCCTTTGTCTGTCCTGCCTGGTCACTGCCCAGGAATTCCCCATTAAAAACCTCGGATATTAAAGTGCCAAAGTTGTAGGCATCGACCGCATGTATAGGATTCTTCTTTATTGTCTCCCACCCAGATTTCGCACACTCTGGTGGTGTGTATCGTCCGGCGTCAGGAACAAGACTTCCGTAATTCTGGGCTCTCGATTAGCGGTGGGAAAATGAAGAACAGTCTAGCCCAGCATACGTATATTATCGCCTCGTCGTCCTTCATGCTGCTTAAAACCTCGAAACCTCCAACCTTCCACTCTCCACTCTCACTTGTGTATAGAGACCCGACGCGCAGAGCGCCGTGTACGGAGGAGGCATCGTCGTTTATGAATTTGATTGTTTGCTTTGAAGTTGTTGTCAACATGAATCCCCTACTACCAGCGAACATGGGCTCCTACAGCAATACCAAACAGGCCCCATTTCAAAGTCTCCGGACTCATGCTCTTCCGTTTTATGTGCCACTTCAGAGGCACGAGTCTTTCTGTAGCGATGTAGATATATGTTTCTGTCTATGCATGCCTTGTTAACAGTGCCAGCTGGAGGCTGAAGTGCGCCATACCTCCACTGTGTCCAACACCTTAATTACCCCTGGGTGTCGTAAAGTTCGAAGCTTTTTGACGGCGTTCCTAGCCATTGGCAGGCGTGATTTATTCGCTGTGACATCGAACGAGAATATGCTGCAGTTGCTTCCATCTTCCTGTTATTACGTTTCAGCGACCTTGCCCAAAACATCTCCATGATGCCACTCATACCCGTTTGGTTCCATTGTGCAAAGCCCAGATGCTTGTGTCTACATCGACTCGATCGCCGAAGGTGTAAGGGAATGGCGGGCCTTTGGAAATTGCTGAGGCAACAGCTGATTTAAAAAACTCCATGCCGCCGGAAATCAAAATAAGCAATACTGAGAATTAAAATGTGGTGTAAACTGCATGTGCATGGCAAAGGTACGAGGGCTGTCGCACCGATATCTGGCCCTTATCGCTGGCCCTAGGAGTCTAGGACCCCTAACCTTATTTACGATGTGAAGGTTCGCCAAGGCTTTTGGAGGGGAAACGCGTCTGGATCTAGACTACGAATGGAGCCGCCTGTACAGTCTTCTGAACTCACATCATTTCATCAACGTGTCTATGTTCCTGGCGCATGGTGTTGCAGAAGCATAGCAGCTTCCAGGGCAACAAGATGCGCTCTACTCACATCTCTTTCTATTTTCGCTTCAATCGCAATTTGCATTGGCTATATTTTGCCCCTTAGGACGCGGTCTACAAACAATCATGGCGTCAAATATGGCTTCCACAAACATCTCTTTGCGCATTTCCCGCTCGCCGCTCACCAGGCACAACAGCAATAGCAATATCGACGATTCCCGCATGCATTCTCCCGCGGTATGTATGTTACTCATATCTCTCAAATGATCCATCATATGTCTGTGATGAACAACTGGTAAAAGGTCTGACTGTTTCAACACGCTGCTGGTTCTGGTGGGGACTTGATCAGTTCTGTAGCTCTGCTGAGGACTCTTGCTTCGCTTTGTCTCTGCACCTTTCGCTAGTAGTCCCTTGAGTCAAGGCAAGACCGATATCACCAAAGTGTTGGTGTATTTCGGTGATCTTTCAGGATAAAACCATGTTGTATCAACAGTTCCGCGATCAGGAGTCATCTGTCGCCATTCTCCAGGACTTATGACCAAAGGCTGCGGAGCAAACCATGAGTCCTTCCCCGGAAGGCAAGTTACGAGGATGTGATGGCGCGAGGCTTTGTGTCGTTAGCTGAGGCAACTATGGGACTTTTTCAGTTCTTTACCGAAACCGCCGTGTGCAGGCTGAAGACTTCTCAAAACTGAAAAGAACTGAGACATATAAATCTTTTTTCTCGCCTTCAAGTAATATCATAGGCATACCCTTGCTGATTAGCCGTACAGTTTGCCAGTGCAGGACTCGACGCGGGAGATGATCGGAGCTCGATGTCGTCTGGACCTATTCTAAACAATTGCGTATTTTGTGCACAGCCTGAATCTTCGACCAGAAAATTCAGTAGATGCGATGGCTGTAAGAGGCCGTATCATAAAACTTGCTTGCAAAAGGCTGGCATCGAAGTAATTCAAAAGTCAGTAGCCTCAACCTGGTGACTTGGAACCTTTCGGGCATTCGCTGACGGACAACAAGCAAGCTGCTGGCCTGTAACAGACCAAAATGTCAATCTAGGGTACAGAAGCAAGAAGCCAGAGATCAAGCATCAAGAAAAGTTCAAGAGCAGCCGCGCTCTGGGTCATCTTTACACACGGTTGTTGCTTCCCAACACCCACACTCTCCAGCGAATCCCTCCTGCGAGATCGACGGCTGTCTTAATCCCCCGCTGAGCAGTGTGGTTCGTGGGCGTATTCTTTGCAAGGCGCACGAAGTGCAAGTTAGGTACGACCAGGCGTCTCTCGCCCGTGCGAATGCTGCTAAACAAGAATCTGTGCGAAAGGCGTTGAGGGTTGATGCTCAATCCAAGCGGAGGCTTGAAGGGAGGCAGCTTCTTCACAGCAAAGGGACACGTCCTCATCAAGTAAAACGGACTTCGTCTTTAAGCACTCGTCCAATAGGCGCAGAGTCCAGCGAGCAAATAATGAATGTTTCACCCCCGTATTACCGCAGACCTGCTGCACGAAAATCTGCCCGAAAAGAGATTGCATCAGAAACCCAGGTGGAAAATATTCAAGACCATAGTATGGCAGGAATAGATATAGCAGGTATAGACGAGACAGACGAGGCGAGAAACGAAGAAGATATGGGAGACGTGAACAGTTTGCCACGGGAACCTCACGACTGCCCATCTGTTCCCGGGAATCCGTCGATACGCACCAAGACACTCGAGTCGCCATCTCTAGTGGGCATAATCCCGCATGCAGCTACTGATGACGGAAGAGAAGAAGACGTCGCTACCGAGGAAATACCAAATCCGATCACTGAAGAGACCTTCCGCCCTCACCCGCTCGAAGATGAAGGAGCTTCCTCCACCAAGACTCAATCACCCATTAGTAATTCCCAAGCATCACCTTCACATCACACGGATGTCACCTCTCCTCACCCCCTTGACGCCTACCTCTACCCCACTTCTCCACCATCACCACGGCCTCAATCCCCATCCTACCTACTCGCAACACAGACCTTCAGTCATACAAACCCCCTCCTCACCTGGCCCGCACCACGCCCTTCTGCCTCCTACATCGCCCAAAAACGAGACGAGTATCTCCGCAACCCCCGTCCAAACCGCAAAGCGAATTTCGGGGTTCATCTTACCGAAGCGACGAAGGCTGAGAGGAGGGCTAAAGGATGGAGTGTTCATCAACGGAAAGAGGTGGTTGATACGGAGCAGACGAGGGAAAGGGATCGGAGGATGGAAGATTGGATTGGTGTTAAGGATGTAGGCGGATTTGAGCTTGGGTGTAGTGAGGGGAAGATGGTTGTTAGAGAGAAGGTCGGGGAGGGGAGAGTTTTTGAAGTGGAGTGAGGAGGTATTAGAGGTGATTCGACGCCTTTGGGAATATGGTGTGAATGGTTGAGCATCTAACGGCCCTTATTACGCGACATATAGCGGGCTGATATATCAGTGTCTAAGGACTAAGCTAGAGGCCAAATTCCTCTAATATAGAATCCATTTGTGTCTGCTATGGAGGCGATTACGTCCATAACAACCAAGTCTATATGTCAAGTCAGTCATAAGCTCTTTTCCTTCACACATAACCTAACTCCATGATTTCCAAGCTTTTCTTTTTCTAGCAATGCCCTTTTCGGCAGTGTTGAAAGCAGTAGCTGTAACTTGGCATAGAAGAATATATGATGAGAAATGTTTGAATAGGGGGGTTCAACAAGTTCACTTCCATGTCAGCATCAACAAATAAAATGTAGTCGGAGAAACGAGCGAGTAGCAGTATATATATATTCATTATCATCCATGATCCATCTTAGTTTTATCCGTGCCAGCAAGCGACCCATATCTTACAGCCCTTAATATCGATATTTACATCTACTGACTGCTGAAAATGCAGCAGAAACCCTCAGAATCTCCCAGCCCGTAAAGAACGCCGTCCATAATCAATACATGTCAAATCCCAAAAACCGCTGTGCGGCCAACATGACTCCAAAAGACCAAAAGTGTCCAAGAAGTCTCCGTGTTCAAAACTTGGCGAAGTGCCAGGATAAAAGAAGGTTACCATTCTCAACAGTGCGTCCATCAGTACTAGTCGTACCATAGTAATCATGAAGTCCAGATCAATTCCAAAACCCCATCTTTCTCAAACATCTTCGGTCCATTCTGTCCATAGATCCATCTGTAATCGTCCGCTTTTCGAATGTACGTTTGCCGTACTGATCCATCCTTCTCGATTTTTGACTCCTTCAATTCCCATGCTACTTTTCGTCCAGTCCAAAGCAGATTCTTCCTTTGCGGGCCCATCATGAAGTCGAGATTCCATCCATAGTCGTTAGGTGCTGGTCCAAATGTGCGTTCGGTCTGGTATAGATTGAAGTCGATGCCCTTAGGATAGTAAGCAACGGAGAAGCCATTGGAAATCACAAAATCGTCGGCCGTCCTGAATCTTTGCAGGAAGCAGTCCTCACCACATGCGTGTGCGACTTGAGCTCCTTCATACACAGATGCCTTGTGCCATATTCCACCCTTGAAATGATGAAGAGACAATGGGCGAAGTCCAGCTTCGTAGAAGCCTGCAGGATCTCCCATAATATCCAACTGATGCAATTCCCGAATCATTGTCAACGTGCTTTCGGTATGCTCGGAGATACACATACGAAGAAGCACATCTCCTTGAGGACCCCACCCAGTATTTGCTTCCTTGATTTTCTGTGGGCTGCTGCACTGCTCGAAATGATTTGCAACTTTGTCTGCAAGTGGAATAGAGAAAAAGACACCAGCGCCGCCAAAAGCTTGCGATCCATGACGTTGAATGTTGTTTATATCTTCTGATAAAGTACCCAGATAAAGATCTGTGGTATGGTCATACTGCGACAAGCGTTCGAGGAGTGCATGCATGGAAGGATAGAAGGTATCGTCGTCGCACATGACAAGAAATTTTCGTTGTTCTCGAGAGCTATCATTGTATAGTTCCGGCAGCAACGAAAGATAACGCTTGGCCATTTCAATACTGCTATCAGCCGCATACACCTTCACGTCGATGCCCATTGACTTCATCTGTTTCGTGGCCTCCTCTAGTTCCCCAGGAGATGCATCGACCAGACGCAGAATCAGCCCTGCCCCGTTAGACTTTCCATGACTGTTTGTCAACCAGTGTGCCCATTCTCTGGTAAGTCGCATTTCCGGGTTTGTCAGTCGCTTGTAAGTGGTCGATATTCCGAATAGCAAACTCGAAGCATCCACGGTACTTGGATACGGTGACCGAGGGACCGTGACGTCGAATGGCTTGAGGCATGTGGTTGTTGAAGGGGGGGTTTTGATGTTAATCTCGTCAAAGCCATTTGGGAATAGTTCGCTGTCCATCTTGGTAACGCTTAATCTGTCGATATCCTGTCGATGGAAGCGAACATAACGACGTCCATATTCAATGTCGTCGCCCAATTTGTATTTTTTTTGTAAGGCCTGCAGACGGTCGGCTTTCAGAGAGCAGTCCCAATGTCGATGAGTTACATTGCTAAGATTGACTTTTGGCTGAAAAGATTCCAAGTTTGCAATTGCTGGGTTTGGCGTATAGACAGTGTACAGAACTAGCACCGAACAGAAGAGCGAAAGCAATATGGCGCGCACAAAAGGATTGCGTGTTTTGAGTCTGGCCATTGTGCCAGCCGCCATTGAAGTACCCATAGCGAGGGAGGGAGGTACTCCTGATATATCTGTAGCCGAGATTACTTTTAAAGAAAGTGTCGCCAAGCGCAATGAGAAGAGTTCATAGAGAGAGAAACGCCGGTGAGATGAGAGTGACGGAGATTTGGAAAAGGAGAAGACAAGGTAACGTTAGAGTGATGGCCTGCAGCAGACTGGGTAAAAGAAACGAGGGGAAGGTGCGAGGTGCGAACGAGTATTTCTGCTTCCTTGCGACATACGACAGGAAGGAAGGGAGCGATCAAGGCGCACAACAATGCAATTGCAGCGCAAATGGCCGAAGGAAGAGCCAACAATTAACGTCATGCTGTCAGAAGGAATAGGCTCAATAGGCTTACGATTAGGTCGTGGGAATTGTTACCCGGCGTCTGCACAACACCTGTCAAGTATTGTTGCTGTATAATTACAGAGATAGATTGGCGACGTCACACTAGATTGTTGTATTTATCCGTGGCATCGATGTCTTTGTTATTGTGCTGATGCGTGTTGTCTTGACACGATTTAGCTGGTAGAGCTGGAGGAAGCCCTCGAGGTCTCAAGTTGAGGCCCTCAACGCGCAAGGCCTCCTTCCAGTAGGTAGAATCTGGAAGGCTATGTGGTAAGGAGAGTTTCTTTTCGATGCTAGCCAGTACCAACCTACGTTCAGGAAACAAGGGCATCCCGTCTTCAGACGTTTTCTTAATTTTCGTTGATGCTTCCGTGATTCCGTGTGCGGGACGAGAGTGGCAGTCACAAGCTCGTTCGGTGGTATCGCATTTCGGACAATCTCATATGATGAATTCCCATGGCGAATAGCAGCTACTTTCGACATAATTTGCTATCTTCTTTGGTTCAACAGGTACCCAAGTACTCATGCAACTTGCCGGCGGCAGGCTGCACGCTTAAAAGTCCTTCAGCCGTGGTGTTATTGCTGGTCGTAGAGTCGTCGAATAGGGAGTATTCGCCCAACATCCTGCGCTGGACTCAGCAACTTATTTATGACAGCGGTTGCGCTTCGGGTCGTCTCAAGTTTGGTTGGAAGCGTGCGATACGCTGTCAGAGCGAAGAAGACCGGTCGTCAACCTGGAAAGCATGAACTATCGCAGCTTGAGCCACAGCAAACCTTGGCGTGGCGGGGGCTTCAGATCCTTTTGATTCGGTAAGCATCCTTCCGACAATAATTTACCTACAATTTCAAAGGTGGTGAGCGCTAGATATTTTCGTTACATATATTTAGACCACTATATGAGTAAGACAGGCGAGAAAAGGATTAGATAGCGGTTGTTCCTTGGTCGCTTGCAATACTCGCACAATATCACTGACATGAGATCTGTTTACTGTGAAATAGTTCCGCCAACTGTTTGCTGATAAGTCTTCAAATCGAAGCCCTGCCCCAGAATATCAAAACTTGTTAGATTGAAAATGGTATGGTTATAGAAGATAAACCTAGACTTGGTAAAAAGTTTGTTTTGTATCTCAGGTTGAACTATTGGATGGATAATTGTCCTGTACACAAATATTGGTCAATTTGATAATGCGTCAAAATTTCTTAATGGCAAACTATCTAGTCTGTTGTGAAGATTTTAAAACAAATTAACACGTCCTTTCTGGACTACTCACCTTCCCTTGACACTTTTCCTGGCCAACAACTCGAGTATTCAGACTCGCTTAATGAGGGGGGGTCGTTGAGGCCTAAGGCACAAACGCAGGCTGCGATGAAGTCATCGTCACTTTGGAACAAAGTCGCGTTAGCCAGCACAAGTGGGCCAAAGTTTGGCGTGAAGACAGGAGCCGTATTACCTGTCATGTCCAAGTGAGTCTGCCGAAGCAAAGTATTCTCAGCATTTGCTAATATGGAGGCCAGCAACATCCTCTTCTTACCGTTCCGCAAGACGAACCCGGTTGCCCTGTCCACTGCGATCAAAGGGTATATTTCAAGCAAATATGATCAGCATCCTGATATGTTCCGGCAGGATCTGGAGGTTATCGATGCGCTGAGGAGAGATGCGGTACATGTCAGAGAACCGCACACAAGTGGAATTAAGAAGATAGCTGCGTATGCGGGGCAGATTTCGTGGATGGGGGCTAAATTTCCCATAGATGTCAGTATTCTTGGAAGGCCAAAATTCTGGAATACCGACTGACTTAACGGTGGCAGATTGGGGTAGAGTTCACTTGGTACCCAGCGTTGGGATACAATACGGAGCGACCAATTTCACAAGATAACTTAAAGTTTGAACTTGCCAATGTCCTGTACAACCTCGCAGCTTTATACTCTCAGCTGGCGACAGCGTCGAATCGTGCCACCACGGAAGGTCTACGAGCAGCATGCAATTACTTCTGTCTCGCTGCGGGAGTTATCTCCCATATCAAGACAGAAGTCATTCCAGAATTACGAACTGCCCCTCCGGAAGACATGGATGATGGGACCCTCGAATCGCTTGAATACCTGATGCTCGCTCAAGCTCAAGAATGTTTCTGGCAAAAAGCTGTAATGGATGGCTATAAGGATGCTTCAATTGCCAAACTTGCTGCAAAAGTCTCTGATTTCTATGGTGCTGCTGGAGACTGGGGTGTTAAGAGTGAGGCAGTTAGTTCAGAGTGGATACATCATACTACAGCTAAACACCACCATTTCGCGGGTGCAGCGCAGTATAGACAGGCGTGTGATTGCTTAGAAAAGAGAAAGTATGGCGAAGAAGTTGCGAGATTAAGGGACAGCATTACGTGTGTAAATGAGGCATTGAAAGAGGCCAGATACTTAAATAAGTCTGTGTTAGGTGACCTGAATGGATTGAAGAATAGGGTCTCGGAAGACCTGAAAAGAGCAGAGAAAGACAATGATCTAATATACTTAAGTAAGTGCTCTGAACACGCGAATAATACAGTTACTAATGAGGCAGACCCTGTTCCACCGAAGTCAGAGCTCAAGACACTAGACCGGGCCAATATGGCTGTCGCAAAAGTTCCCAAAGAAACCTCAGAGCCGCAAAACTTTATCGGAGACTCGAAGGAGTTTGGCCCACCGTTATTCGCAAAATTGGTACCCTTCGCGGTGCACCAAGCTGCCAGTATATATGAAGAAAGACGAGATCGTCTTGTCAACAAAAACATAATTGACGAGCTCGAAATTCTTACCACGCAAATTCACGATACATTGCGCTCACTCAACCTTCCTGGATCCTTGCAAGCTTTGGAAAAACCGCTTGGGTTACCACCGACGCTGACTGCCCATGCTGAAGAGATCAGACAAGCAGATGCCTTGACAAGACTTCAGCGATCATTTTCTGATACTGCTAAATTGAAGGCTTCTGATGATGCTATCTTTGCGGAAGGTCGAGAGCTGCTTCAAGCGGAAGCTGCTGAGAACGAGAGGTTGCTAGCCAAATATGGCACTGACAGATGGCAAAGACCAGACTCACGTACAGTGGCCAGTAAACTTTATACCAGGACTACGGAAGTGGAAGGATACCTAGTTGGTGCTGCAAATAGCGATGAAGTGGTACGCAATAAATTTAGAAACTGCGAAGAAATGCTACGAATTCTTTCTGGATCCGATCGAGATATTGGAAATTTTGTGCCAAGCAGTCGCAGAGCGGCCATTCCACCGAAACTGGAAGGAGAAGTTTCTCGATTGCGAAATAGTCTCAACGAAGTCTCTCGCCTCGAATCGCGTAGACAACGGAAGATTGAAGCTTTGAGGGAGAAATCCAAAAAGGATGACATCAATACTAGTATCCTTGCCGAAGCCGCTCGCCTCGAACGCGAATTACCAAATCAAGCAGTGGTCGCTGCTCATTTCGAGGACTTCTTTGAGCAACAGCTTAAGAAATATGAAGTAGATAAGCAAGCGCTTAAATCGGAGACCGAGGAACAAGAGCGATTACTTTCTCAACTCCAACTTTCCAATGCGCAATTCTTAGCAGCCAGAGCCGGCGATAAATCGTCTCGCGATCGAGAACAGGCTTTACAAAAGCTGGAGAATGCATATTTCGCATACAAAGAAATTGTGAGCAACCTCGAAGTGGCCAGAAAATTCTACAATGATCTAGCAAACATCGTCGGGCGTTTCAGAGACGAATGCAAGGCTTTCGTGTATAATAGGAGGCAAGAAGCCATGGCTTTGGAATCGTAAGTACTTTTACCCTGGAAGCTTACCGTCTCTAACTTCTACCCAGCGAGCTCTCGCTTCCTCCTCTGAATTCGTTGAGCATGCACAACCCAAGCTCTCCAGCACCGGCTCAAATTCCACGCACCTATAACGCTCCTCAGGGGCCAAGTCGAAGAACGTCTCTCTCCGGATCTTCCACATTAGCGAATAATAGTGGACAGGATATTCCTGCTCCCATAGCCACGAGAGCTTCGTTAGGTAGTCCATCTTTGCAGAATAGTGGTCCTGTCGCAGGAGGCACTTGGAATCCTGAAATGGGAATCAAATTCGGAGGACTTGGGAGTCAGGGGGTGCAGCAGCAGCAGCAGCAGCAAGGTGGACAACAACAAGGTTCCAACAAAACTTGGGATCCTAATCGGGGATTTAAATTTGGTTGACGACATGCGGGCTCGAAAGACAATGAAGGGTTCTTCTAGGGGTCTGCAATAAATAGTCGGAGTCAGTACAAGGCGGTTATTGTGCAATTCGTGGGTTGTTTGAAGCGGCATAGTTTGCGAGGTTATGAATGCATGAATTATGAGATGAATGATACATTTACTGGAGTTATGGGAATGCATGCCTTGAGATGAATTCGGTGCCTCCATCTACATTGAAAGTCACCCTCCTGAACTTCTCTTTGGGCGTGGATTAGTTAAACTGGAGTAAAATACCCATGAAACACACAAATGAAAGATTCGGCAAGTCTACTCCTCGTAAGATTTCGATGACTTTTGAGTCGTGTCTGCTCTTCCCTATTTGTGAAGCCAATACACAAATCGTGCCACTACTATTGGACATTGCAATGACCTACTGAGAGTGCAAGTCGGCTGTTATTTTATGAGTTGAGACTCCACCTTAAGTTGTTCGCTAACATGGACCCGAGCCGGCTTATTTCACTCTTACTAAACAACATTTCAACAACCTTGCGAAACATGAGTTGTCGGATGTTTAGCATGCTATGCTCAGTGTCAACAAGGTAGCTACATACTTGAATTAGTCTGGTAGCGAATAGTCACAGTTCAAGTCTAATGGACCTATTTACGTCCGCTTATAACTTTGCAATTTGTTGTAGGTGTAAAACATGGAACATCCTAAAGTACTAATCCGCTGCTAGTCAGTCCTTGTGTCGCTGAAAAGAAGGTTACACAACAGCATGGTTTTATGAATGTTCATAACAGCGTTCTCCTTACAAGTGGTACACCTGAAAGGAGAATGTGACGAGCTCTTTCCAGTTGCATCGCGCATAGGTCATAGTGGCGATCTGACTGAGCCTTGAGCTCGGGAAATAAATCCCAACTAAGAATTAGCCCTCATCAACAAAAATAGAACTGACGTAAAGCTAAGATCTGTTTGAGGAATAACGCGCGAAGAACTAACTAAGGAAAGCACAGCCTTACCAACAACGTGGGTTACAAGCTACATTAGCATATATGGCTCAGGTATGACCTAAGGGGGCATTGGAAATCAGACGAACAAAAAGCGAGCGATCTGGTAGCTTTGGAAGAGACTAGCTAGTAAAGTATGGAAGTTTTTGGTACTGAACCATGGCATTGCAGAACAATTTGACCCAATCTTTACTACTGTAATAAACCCTAAATCTTGTAATCCCGTAGTGAGAACCGCTTGTGTTGGTCTATGGCCAAGTTCCTCGTGTGATGCATTACAAGGTTACTAATGACCTCATTAGCTCAATAATTATCCTTACTGGAAAACCTCGGCCGAAACGGGTGATTGTCCTAACGGCCGGAGTGCCTCGGAGATTCGAAATAAAAATGAAAAAGCCAAGTCTAGAGGTACCGTACGAGGTCTAGACGGGACGGTTGTCCCTAGCTCGGGACATTAGCCACAACTCTATTGTGCTTTTATCAATAATGCTGTCAGGTGTTGGAAAGTATGAACAGTGGAAACCTGTGTTTTATTGCTTGCCCTCTTTACCTTGCTGCATACCTAGGTAGACTTAGGTTTCGACATGTTAGCAGACCATGAATTCACCTGACAGTTACCTGAATATAATGGAGGCGGACTTACCTATAACGGGCTAGTTTCGGAGATAATGGGGTAGTGGGGTAGTGGGGTAATAACGTGTATCAAAACCTCCCTTCGTTCCACGCAGCGTCGGTTTGCATTGGTTCGTGACTTCATCTACTGTTTTTGTCAACACTGAGAGTCTCATAATTCTGCTCGATAGAAAGACTTGGACAAAGTTTCTTTCTCCAAGGTATTTTGATAGGACAGCATATACATTCTTTCAGAAACATAACTCGAGATGGGTCATCTTACGACGCTCGCGACTTGGTACGTATCGTCTGCTGGAGGCACTACTCAATTTAGTAGTAGTGGATTGAAACCTAGATGGGCTAACGTTCTCTCAAGTTCGCTCAACCAATGGGCGATGGCCTTTGATTCCAATCAAAAAAACATCATTGAATCAATTCGACAGGCAAAAGCCAAAGGATGCGCCATGAGAGTCGGACCGGAACTTGAAATCACGGGATATGGCTGTCTCGATCACTTCTTGGAGTCAGATACTCTTCTTCACTCATGGGAAAGCTTGAGTGAGATTCTTGTTCACCCGGAATGCCAAGATATTCTACTCGACATTGGAATGCCCGTTAGACATAAAGATGTTGTTTACAACTGTAGATGCATCTGCTACAATGGAAAAATTCTACTTATTCGACCGAAAATGAGTCTTGCTAATGACAACAATTACTATGAAGCTCGATACTTCGCGCCGTGGAAAGGTGAGCGGATTGTGGAGGACTTTTATCTACCGAGGATGATTGAAAAATTGCACGGGCAGAAGACTTGTAGAATTGGTGATGCAGTAATCAGTACCAGGGATACTTGTATTGGCACAGAGACTTGTGAGGAGCTTTGGACACCAAACAATCCCGGGATCTCTATGGGTCTGGATGGTGTTGAAATTCTCAATAACAGCAGTGGCAGTCATTGGGAATTGCGGAAGCTTCAGACTCGAGTTGATCTTATTCGAGGAGCAACAACGAAGTCTGGTGGAATCTATCTTTATTCGAACCAAATCGGGTGTGATGGCGAGAGAATGTACTATGATGGATGTGCGATGATTATTGTCAACGGCAAGATTCTAGCACAAGGTAGCCAGTTCTCGTTGCAAGACGTCGAGGTAGTTACCGCAACTGTCGATCTTGAAGAAGTCAGAACATACAGAAACTCCAAGTCACGGAACATGCAAGCAATTAAGCAAGAGAAATACGAGCGCATCGAGGCTGATATCTCGCTATCAGACGACTCGGAATTTGCAGATTTTTCACTGGCACCATCAGAGGAGGTGGAACCTCGATTTCTTCTACCAGAACAAGAAATCAGTCTCGGTCCTGCGTGTTGGATGTGGGATTTCCTACGCCGATCACGACAAGGGGGTTTCTTCTTGCCGCTCTCTGGTGGTATCGACTCATGTGCTACTGCCGTGATTGTACACCAAATGACGAGACTTGTGTTTGTCGAGATGCAAAAGGAGAACGCTCAGGTTATTTCGGACATGCTCAGAATTGTTGGAGAGCCGTCAGCAAGCGAGTGGCGCCCAAAATGCCCACAAGATATTGCGACTCGGATGTTCCATACTACATATATGGGCATGAAAGAGAATAGTAGTCAGGATACAAGAAAGAGAGCTGAGGACTTAGCAGTAGCTGTTGGGGCTTACCATCTTGATTTCGACATTGATACGGTCTATCATGCTCTTGTTTCTCTTTTTACTACCGTTACCAAATTCGTACCAAAGTATCAGATGTATGGCGGCACACCGGCGACAAATCTAGCCTTGCAAAATATTCAGGTATGCCCAGTTCAAACAACACAATCCGCACCTCTAGACTCACGATACGTCAGGCCCGTTTGAGAATGGTCATTGCATATATGCTGGCGTAAGTATATCACATTCCTGGTTATATGAGCGGCATTGGAAGTCTAATCATACCAATTTAGACAACTACTTCCAACGATCCGACAACGCAACGCAAATAACCCTGAGAATCCAAATCCAGGTTCATTACTTGTTGTATGTATGCTCTTGACGGAGCCTGTTCCCTTCCGTTTCTGTTATATGTGATCTTCGCTAATAGCCCTTAGCTTGGTTCTGCTAATGTAGACGAGTCCCTTCGTGGTTATCTGACCAAGTATGATTGCTCATCCGCTGATATCAATCCTATTGGAGGAGTCAGTAAGACGGACTTGAAGCGGTTTATTCTCTGGGCAAATACAGAATTCGATTTGCCATTGCTGGACAAGTTCATCTCTGCACCACCGACAGCGGAACTTCTACCCATCACTTCGGAGTACGTCCAAGATGATGAAACTGATATGGGAATCACTTATAATGAATTATCCATATTCGGGACATTGCGTCGTGTTGAACGTCTTGGTCCATTTGGAGTTTGGTCGAAGCTGCTGCACGTTTGGCAGGATAAATTCTCCCCTCAAGAAATCTATAAAAAGACAAGATTCTTTTTCTACAACTATGGAATCAATAGACATAAGTACATATTTTCAACATCTGAACGTCGAAGCTGTGCTAACACAAGGGTGCCAGGATGACGACCTTGACGCCAAGTGTTCATGCTGTTGCGTAAGTCTTTGTTCATGTTCCTTGTTGCAAATTGCAATATTCGTATCCGCAAAGGCCACGTTCGATAGTCGATTTTTAATTTCTGTTTGAACACATGAAAACTGACTCTCATGATAACAGATACGGAGTAGACGACAATCGATTCGACATGAGGCCGTTCCTGTATCCTAGCATGGACTGGGCGTATCGGAAGATAGAAGGCCGGCTCAAGATAATGGGTCAAAGAGCAAGCCAAACCGTGGAGAAGAAAAATGTTTGAGAAGGAGAATAACTCATTTTTACGTCACTGGTGCACGTCTGGCATGCAGCCCTACAAACTTGGCGTCTACAAGTAGTAATACTTCGTAAATAAGATCTGCATTGAATTGCGTTTATGGCTGGGTCGCTCCAGGTCACTGAAGAAAATGGCATCGAAAACCGAAGTCAAAGTTTTAATTTGGAATTTTTTAAACTTTAAATATGACCATGGCACAGCACAGTCTGCTTTTCACTAGATATGCACCATCGAAGGGATCAAGTCCCCTATTTTAGCGAGCGCCTTGCCAAGGCGACTAAAAATCAATGCCACGTAAGGCGCGGAGGTAATTTTCTCACGCTACGGGAGGATATGTGGTGTTGAGGAGTGGGTCTTCAATCCGTCCAAAACCTTGTTTGGCAGTGGTGATGTGATGTTGTCAAAGAGAGCATCAGAAATATAATATACGTTAACTGGTTGAATTGTATGTGGACCACGTCGATTTGATAATATGGATGGCTATATCAGTTGCCGCTCCATTAGAAGTACTGGCTGCTCAGGGCTACGAAATAGATAATGTCGTACATTAGCAACATACGTGAAAACGCAAATATGAACTGTCCGAAAATGCCGCTCGTCTCGACTTCTACATCTAGTAACTTCTTCATAATGGCACAATTTTATACTCGTCAGACAGGGCACGTAAAGAATTGACATGGTAAACCCGGACTTATAAAGAACCCTACCTTTCCCTTCTAGGACTGGAATATAGACATCCTTGATTCATTGTTGACCCTGCAGCACATAGACCTAACAAGTTTGCTTATGGAATCCTTCCCCCCCCCGGATAGAGAAACCCACAGACAAGAGCACAGTTTAGATAATGAACAAAGCTCAACCACACCTCCCGATAAAGCCTCAATTTCAAAGTAAAAGTAGTTGCTCCTTCGAATAGCCGATACCTCGATACCTCGGGCCCATCAAAACCACATTAGAAAAGATTCCTCGCATGAAGCAAAGGAAGTCCCCGAAAAGTTGAGCCTTAAATCTCAAAATTCAAAATAGTGAAGCTCAGCAAAGTAACCAGCGATCTTTAAAGCAGTTCTACTATTTACGTACAAGCGTCTAAAACGAATGAGGCTCAAACCACACATCGCCGTTTCATCTCCACTCCCCCAACTGCAAAAGAACAAAACACACTTCTTCCGAATAGAAGATCATAGAACACATCTCCGCGCCCCTTCCTACGAAGCAAGCCCGTAAATGCAAGCCACAACCTTACCCGCCCGAAAATCGTGTTCCCGACTGTCACCCAAGATGCTTTGTATGCGAAGTCCCGCTCGCCTCAGATCAAATTGTTCTCCTTTCAACTCGGCAGGATCTTACAAACCCCCACTGAGAAGGTAGCCAGGAACGAGTCGGCCAAAATTTCTCAAAAGAACCACGCGGCACTCCCGGTAGGAATCTCTATCCTCTGGGTCCTTCCTCAAGCAAGCCCTCAAAATTCAAAGTCCCTGTGCCGCACATCTACATAAACGACTTGTTAAACCCACCTCAGCAGAATAGTGCAAGCCCCACAGTAAAACACATCGTTTTGACGTGAGCAACTTAAATTTACTGCAGGCAGTACAGATGACCCTAGACCTAGGAATATTTTTGGGCCAAAAGCCTTTAATGATCCTTCGGGCCCTCCCTTTTCCCCATATAATAGAGAGTGATCGCCTAGGTCCGTGGTGGGCAGGCGAGGTGGCCAGTCAGGAACGCAGGATAGGGCAACGCGCCTTTCGTCTCGTAGGATTCTAACGGTGCCGTGCCCTATGGTACGGAGTTCACGACGTATCTGACTAGCATCCCTCGGTTGCTTGACGATTGCAGATCCGAGATATTTTGGAATTGAACCGTTTTGGAATCAAGACTCATCAGATGTAAGCAGGAGGTTGGCAGTTTTTGGGGTAAGAGGTAAGATTATATCAGACTTATCGCTTGTGGTACTACCTAAGGGAGTAAGAATGATGTGGAATTTAGATGACTATGAGGGCGAGTCGCTTACATATTATGAAAATGGGGTGTGGTGAGCAGTTTTGAGAGGCGCGGTCGCTGGGGTGGTCTTTTGGTATGTGGTGCTGTGGCACAGTGTTATCTTCCATGGGCTTGAACTCTAGCGCTCCGCTAGGATGATGAAGCATTGAAAAGTTTATGGCTTTAGTAAGTATGGACAGTGCCCGTATTTCTGTTACAACCCAGTCAAATTTCAGAGCGCCATGCGAGGAAGGAAGGGAAAACATTGGATATACATAGAGATTAACCATACCGACTTCAGGGTCAAGTGGTTGTGAACAGTGGTTGCAATGTTTGGTGACAGAGGAGCTGCGAGGAAGGGTAAGGAACTGACTAAGATACGTCAAACCCAGATGCTAAAATAGACACTCTACCTTTTCGTAAGAAATAAATATATTGATTTTTAAAATTAGGGAGAGGTTTGGATATCCGGATATAAAAAACTCCTTACTCAGGAGATTGTCAGCAGACAATTGGACTTAAACAACCTATTAACATTTCGCAACAAAGCACCTGAGGCACAAATGTAAGAAAGGGCGGCGAGCCTTTGTACACAAGTTTGGTTTATGAGCCTCAAATTTACAGAGCGTCATACTTCGATGGCGCCGTAGATATCACCAATCAAGTGTCACACCTACAGTTGCCATTAATTATAGCACAACAAGTATGGTTTCTGACTAAAAGGTTCGCAAATTGGATTGAGGCAAACTTGTGTCTCAAGATCTAAAATAAGACGTTGTGTTGTTGTCAAATTATGTTGCAGAGATGAAAGCTTGCCCCAAGTGTCTCGCAAGGGAATCGTGTATCTGTAAAGTATGTATCAATGATGAGTTCATTCTTAGGCAACCATCATGGGGTTCCAAGTGCTGTTGCAGAATGAATGGATACTCCACATTACCCGTACCAAACAGCCTGACGCATTACAGCCCTAGATCTTGCACCACCAAACCAAAAAATGGATTTTCCAAATAAAACCTAGCATTAACTAGGTAACCAATATTGCGCCTGGCCAAAAATCTGCGCGACGAATTTCCTACTTCCATGTTGACTAAGAACCCAAAGCTATTTCCTTTGCAGACCGCCAAACCCTATGCATACAAGAAGTTTCCAACGAACAATTGATTTGTGCCAGAAATAGATTCTGGTAAGAATACCATCTGAAAGTAATTTGTGTAACACCTGGCGCCATGCGTACTTTAATGCCAAGCTCATCGCCCTAAATGAAATTATGTAGAAATTTTGTGGTCGTGTGTTATTCACGCCTCCAAGAAACCCTCCGAAGATAATGTTGTTATGCAAGCAATGCTTCGAATAAAAGACAGCGAACCGGGTATCTCGTATACGGCCGTAAAATTTTGTGTCGTTGATTTTCTTGATAGTCTCGTGATTGATTCCGTTCTCTTATGCATTCTCTGTTCCTCCTTCTCACTTGAGAGTTGAGAGGGACCCCTAGCACCACACCACGTGCTTCTATTCATATAGTTCTTCTTCCTCGTTAATCCTTGATACTCTCCCACCACCAGTGGCTCCAGGGCCACGGATGGGCTCAGGAAGAGGCTCATCCTTCATACATGAATTTTCCAACATGTTTGTCCATTTCCCGCTCGTACCTGCATGACTATGCTTTAAATGTTGCCTGAAATGATCGGCTCTGAAGAACTTTTTCGCATGATTACACTCTCCGAATTTGTGCATCTCTTGCAGATGACCTATCCGGACATCCCAATCTCGGTCCGTGGGAATAGGAACCTGGGGCCCAGCCGGCGAAGTCGAGGATAGGCCAGACCGCGGGAAATCCTCACCACAATAGCCACAAGTGTCGGCTTCACCTGGCCGTGCTGAAGATTCATGAAACGCTGCTGAATAACCAGAAAGTGCAGCACAGGACCAGGAATGGCGACGCAGATGCAAAGAATTTTGATGCCGCTCGGCTTCATTTTTATTCTTGAAACGATTATTGCAGTATGCACATTGGTATTGCTTTTCTTGCTCGTGTGCGCTGCGTTGAAATTAGCGACTATTAAGTTTGACTGGTTTGGGAACCTACTCTAAGTCTTCTTGACAGTCAAATTTCTTTGGTTTTTTCGGACAGCACTCGCACATGTAAATACCTTGAATTTTTGGTGCGCCGTGAGCTTTTGATGTGGCTAGGCTGTCAGATGGTTTGTGCGAAGACAACAGAGGTCTTCCCTCTGTCGAAGGATGGCGCTGATGACCAACTCTCGGGCCACAACTTCGAGGACTCGGGTTTAAGGATGGAACATATGAAGAATCGGACGAATCCAACCCTCCGGGTGACAACCCACCTGGAGATCTTGCATATGAACTTAGACTCGACACACTGCTCGTGGTGATGGATAACGTCGATGAAGCATATGAGTTCGCTCTGGGTGCCGAAGCAGCAGATGAGACCGATCCAGCGGCCGAATGTAGGCGTGGGGTAGGAGAGCGCCGTGATGCAGATTCTCTACGTCTAAACAAATCACTCGCACTTCCGACTGTATGCAGCGAAGGACCGTCTTCCGCGGGTGGCGAGGAAGCCCGTCGCTTTTGTCCTGCTGTGCTGCTTGGAGAGTACGGTTCTTGTCGACCAGAATACTCATCAATGCGAAGCCTCCTAAGCCCGGTCTCCTCCATTTGAAATTGTGCGTCATGATCCGGTGAAATTCGAGGATCATAGCTATCTCTAGAGCGACTGGTGAAACTTGAAGCATCGTCGCCAAAGCTCATGGCAGAACTACTCCCCGATCCCCTGACATACGGATGTGGGGAACGGTCGGAATCAGCATCACTATGGGATCTGGGTTCAAATTGGGTTTGCAAAGCGAACCGAGGGAAATGGGGTTCAGTCGATTTCGCAAATGACAATGGATTTTCCCCATGTCTCCCCAACGCCACTGGACTCTCTACAAACCCTAGACCTGGACGACCCGACAAAATTGGGAGGGACAAAGGTTTTAGTTGGCTCGGATGCCTGTGGTCGGCGTTGATCCTTGACGTTGGTGATGCATCGCTTGCAGAAGAGCTGAAAGCTGACATTTTGGAATAGTTTCGTGGAGGGGTTTTTTTATCAACCGGTCCTCGGGCGTCCAATTTTTGCAACAACGACTTATCGTATGCCTGGGCGTCTGTCTGAAAGGTATCGTGAACCGAGCTTTGGAAGGATCTCCCGCCAGAAAAATCTGGATAAAAATTGCTGCTGTAATAAAATCGGGTCAGTGTCTCGATTTGAGAATAACAACAGGAATTCGTGCGGCTGAATAAGCTCGGACTTGTAGACCTTCAGCACCAGAAGCAGCACATAGCTTCTCATGGAGTAATATGGAACGAAAAGCAGACTGACCGGTAAGACCCTTTGCCCGTGGAATAGCTGGAGTACCCTTCATCCCTGGGAGAGCCATGTTCGCCCGCAGCTGGCTGCATTGATTTTATCGTTGTTGACGAGCTTGTACTTCGCGAATAATTTGGACGGTCGCTTTCCTTTGCATTTTTTGTATAGGTTGGACGGTCAATCTCCTCGTTGTTCTTGCCCATTCTACTGTCTCCATAGAGACTCGACCCTGGTGCGACTGAGGAGCCTAGACCGCCGGAATCCCTATGTGAATTCGCAAAACGCCACGCTAGATCTTGCCCGTTATTTCCTCCTGTCCTTATATCTGCCAGGTCTTTCGGAGGAGGTAATGGCGGTGGTACGGGTTCTCTCGAACCTTTTATGGACATAGGAATGGCATGCGAGGAAGTAGAAGAAGACGAATTGTAGGAACTCGACCTGCTCGACGTTCGATATCGGTCTTGCTCCGAGTCGTTAAAGACAATCGAAGGCAATGCCAACGACGGCCTCGCGCCTAGACGACTGGGTATGTCCATGATTGCGCTTGCCACCAGTCGAGCGACGTAATGTCAAGTTCGGTGACCCTATGCTATCGACCTGCGAGGAAGGTGATTTGTTGGTGGCAAGTGTGGTACGCGGGGAGGCCGGCTGAGACTGAGAATAACTGGCGAAACATAGATATTATTGAAGCGACGCAACAAACATGTACAATAAAAAAGAAGCCCTCCAAGTGAAATCGTGGGGTCTTATGTCATCGAGAGCGTTGACAGGACGAAGGAAGGAGGTGTGGTCTTTCTGAGCCGGGCACAGCAGTGAGGCGGCGATGTACAGAAGAGACTGCGAAGATCTAGCTCAGGGAGATGGAGATGTAGGTGGAGGGGGGGAGGAGAGAGGAGGGAGGAGGGAGGAGGAAGTCGTTCGTTCTCGGAATAGGCGCAGGATGTGGGCAGTTCAGGCGATGGCTTGTAAACGGTGATCGGTAGAGACGTAGGGGGTCGGTCGTTCGGGGGGTGGGAGAGAACGGATGCGGCCTGCCAATTAATGGTGGGAAGAGGAAAAGATATGAATCTTGCATGTACAGAGCACGACAGGGGAAGCTGATAATAGAGTACCTGGCCAAACGTGCGAAGACGCCTGGTAAGGCGAGCGGGCGGGAACCCAGGAGTACCTAGGTATTTCGACTTTGTAAAATACCGTAAGTCCGGCTGGTAATTATTATATAGATATTTACCTGTATTTACCTGTCGGAGCGTGTAAGCGCTGCCAATGAACCGCGTGCGTACCGGTATTCGCTAAGGGGTCCACTTAAACCAAGGGCACTCAAGATGCGCCCGACTGCTAGATGCCCCAGCTGAGTCGTGATATCCAAACGCAAAGATGATTGGCAAGCCCGTGTGAAGCGCTCCAGCCCAGGGTCTCTAGCCCGGTCTGGGCTTGGATCAGGGCTCAACAAATAAGGAGACCTCAGACCCTCGGTCGGTAAATAGTCAGTTCGGTTGTGGGGCACTGGGGAGGTCTTTGGAACTCTTTGAAGTCACTAAGTGGATATGGAGCAGCCCTAACCGATCTTCATCTGACCAGTAAGTAGCCCCGTACTCGTAGAGGCACTTACTTCGAAGTACACCAGCTCCATCGGGCTTTGCACTAGTCTCCATGTCCGGGCTATTCTGTATCTGTCTTCCGACTGTCCAGATGTTCTCATCATCATGATTTAAGGCTTCGAGATGGAACCTCTTCTGACATCGATGACTGCAGAACTCGGAGAACCATGATTCTAGAAGCCTTGGTCTTCTCAACAATGCTTGAAATTTCCTGGAAGCCTTACCGCAAGGCCAGACTGAGACAAATACCCATGTGGAAAGACCAATCCATAGAGGATGGCTGACAAGTCCTCTTACGAAGTATTTGTTCTAAAAGCCGATGGTTATTCTCATAGGCGGACGTAACGGCGTAGGTAGCTGGTGAGAATCTAAATGGAACCGGTGAGTCGCAGTCAGAAAGGCTATGATTATTCTTATGTCCTCCTTTTCCGCTCGGTGTGTTTTGAAACCTACCGACATGTTGACCTCATGTCATGTTCGACTTTTGGCAGGAGCTGTATTTTTCATGTGCCATAACGGCCCAAGTGGAACGAACCCTCAAAAGAGTGGTCAAATTCGAGCCGGAGACAATATTAATGGCTTCTTCGCTCGTGAGACCCATGGCTGGCGAATGCAAATCTGACCGATGCACCTCTGATTTATTAAGCAAGTTATCTTAACAAGAAGGCTGCTTCACCGTCCTACGATGGAATGCATATGGAGTCATTCCCTATCATCATAGGACGGTTCGTGTGGTCCCTGCCCACCGCCTGTTGTGCTCACAAGGCCCCAAGAGCAATCCCAGAACACAAAAGCCAAATCCAACGAACAGACGCCGTAGACGTCTGCTCGTCTACACGGTGCATTGTAAATGTCTTGCTATCAGCCTCACTATTGGCAGTTCTACAGTTGTTTTGGATCCAAAAACGTGGGGTCCACTGAGAATACCGAGGAACGTCAACGCTGCTTGAGCATCGGCTGCAAGTCCCTCCGTACTCGTAACAATGACAATCTGCCCCTCTCCACAGCCTTTGCGGGGCCTGCAAGGCAAAGCAATACTGTCAGGGGCTACGGTAAAAGGTGAGTATACAGGGATTTACGCTGCCCTAGCATCATTTGTGCTGCATCGACCGGGTGCTTGAGTGGCTCATGAAATCAGCCCTATCTCCCTAGCCGTGGGAAAAAGCATGCTCAAAGCGTGCCAACCCAAGACATCGTCGTGGCTTCAACTGTTCAGAGCGTCACACCAGCGCTGCTGTGCTCGCACGGAGTACTTTGGCCGCTGGGTCTGGGTACGCTCCGCTTCGTAAAGTATGGGGGTTGAGTCCTTTGTGTAATAATTCTTTAGATTGAAAAAAATTCAAAATCGTTCAAGGATAACTGGAATAGCTGATGAGGACAAATTGCAAGCACGCTGCTGTACTCGAACCAAAGTCACTGCATGCGTCGTGGCTGGCGGGATGACATCTTTCTCAAGACAGACATGATGCTAGACATCGATATCCAGATGCAACTGATTCAGTTCGCAGATCGCGCTTGCAGACCTGTCGAAGAAGATACGAGTGGTAGAAGGATCAATTGAGTTGGCCTATCCTTCCGATTACCCCTCTACCCCTCAACGCCTCCTTGAGTTTGACATTGTAGAAAAACTGCTCGATGAGAGTACTCGAGTCCGGAGCGAACGCGGACATAATAATTGCCTCACAACGCAATAATCGCAATGAACAGTGGCAATTGGAAGGACAGGTGCATATGTGATCCAGCCGTGCATGCTTGATACGAGTAATCTTTGTGAAGTCAGCTGCACATCGCGCTCTCTGCAGCGAACAAATACTTGGTACCGTACCCACGACTCGCTGCTCAATAGTAGAAGTGCCTATGCACCGCTGAACATCTCTCACTGCGCCACCAATCGCCTAGGGGTTCAAGGCAGTAGATAGCTTTCTGAAACCTGTCATGAAAACCGAATTACTTACCCTGAACCTTGCACTTTCCACAGCGAGCGGTCTAGAACTCAAAACTCTACCATTCACATTTTCGAAAGTATAATAATAACGATCTTCTGGCGTTGTGACTTCAAAGCGAGAAGTGACCGCGTCCAACATCTCGGACTGGCTCTCAATCAGGTGTAGTTTCGAAGGTTTCCAATAGAAACAGGTATATCGCTAAGTGGGGAAGGCGAGCCTTATAGGACATGGCGTAAAACTACTGTAGCGCTGCTCAGTTTCCTAAGCTCGAATGCAAGCTGGTCCAGATTGGGGAATTCCTCCACAAACAGTCGTTCTTCCGGCTGTCGAAACTCAAGAGGAGGATATGTAACTGTCGGTACTTGGATCCGTTCGGCGTCCTACATCACATCATGTGTGCAATTGAAGTTCCGACGTTAAATATGACCGAAAGAAGGAGAGCAAGTGCTTCAATGAAAGAAATACTCGGACAATGATTGTGAGGTTATGAGGAGCCTCATAATTCGGGTGCCTGGCGATTCCAGCGACGCACCTGAGCGATTAACCTGACGCTAGTACGAAGTAAACAGGATCTTGACTTTCGGGCAACTTTCATCGACACGTACGCAATATAGTGCAGCCCCACAAGTCTATCCGAGACTTTCATTATTGTTTCCCTTCTTATTTATTGTTTATCGTCTCGCTTAGTATGCAACGACTTTGTAGGCAGATGTTGCTCCAGTAGTATGCTGTGTTGACTCCTTGGGACAGCGGTCGAGTTTGAAACACGAATCTACAACCCATCAAAGACCCCGATCTTCGGCGATAATGATAATCCCAGAATCTCGGTCAGATCAATCGCCTTAAGGCTCAAGTAGAGACAGTATTAGTGAACCCCAGCTACCATATTGGGAATGGCTTGCGAATCTCCCTCGCGCGTCCATCACCTAGTTTTCAATAATTAGTCATAATAAATAATGTCATCCACATTATTACTGTCGGCTATTTGTGCTTTAGTGCTAACTCCCATAAGGCTCTAGGTACCAATCAACTGCCTCGGCAAAGAGATTGGGCCATCTAGTCCAGCTTATTACGCAGGTGGTCATTTGGTACCAGCAGGGCTTTCGCTTCTTATATGGCGCTTCTTCCTTCGGATTCATTAACCTTATCACCGAAAGGCGAAGGATTATCGCTCTCAAATACTACTGTCAAGCTTGCATTAATTGTTCCGGCCATTGATACACACACCCGTCCTTCGGAGATGCATCTAGAACGATAAAAACTATTGTTCAGTATTTGTTGTTCGCTTTGCGTATACGGAGGAAGCTCCAGCGCCGCAATAATTATGAACTTCCTCTTTTCTCAAGACCAGCAATTGAAGTCTGAAGGATGCGGAATACAACTTTTCATCATGGTAGTTCAAACAACCCTTCTGAGATAAGGCAGTTCTGCATGCAAGTTCAAGCATGCCTACTGAGAAGTTTCTTTTATACTTTGTACATCCGAATTGGAATATTCCCCGGCAGAACCCTGTGCGCAATGAGTTGGCCGTGAGCACACAATTGGGCGTGGCCTCATAATACTTTCCTGCCTAAGCCGAGAACCCAATTGCAGTGCATATTGTAGGAGCTTCCTTACCCGCTGCAGAACATATTGTTTAACGTGAAGCGTTCGCATTAACATGCGGGATGGTCCCATTGGCTCGCTGGCCTCGATTTCCTTTTGCACCATCATCTAGATCCTGACAAACATGATCAGTGCAATGTAAGACACCCAGTGGGACGAGTCAATAGAGTTTCCTAAACAGTCGACCCTTCGTCGCTTTCGTACTTCAGGCTCGTCGTTTGATCTTTTCCGTCCTGGCGCTTTTGGAACCGATCTCTCAAGAAGCCACGCGGAAATCTCTGCCCTACGAAGCTTTATTGTAACCACACCTCCAAAACGGTTATTCTTTACGCAGGCAAGTATGCATGGGTGTGAGGGTTGGTTCATTAAAATGAACAGGGTCAG